ATATGAATTTCTGACCAACTCTGCACAGCTAACAGAATTTATGGTGTTCTAAATGGTTCTGTACTTTTTCTGTCACTACCCTTTAGGTTTTAAACAGGGTGGTTGCCAGGTGTTGGTTATTTGGGTGCACTGACAACTTTTTAAACTTGTTAAACCTGTTGTTCCATTGCAGTGGATAATTTAAGAACAGTTTACAATTTTGTGGCTCTAAGGTAGATTAATGTACAACCCAAATTCCAAAACAATTGGAAAACGTTTTGCTTCAGTTAATGTCTCAGCACTCTTTTATACTATGGTAACATTTTTATAATGTTTAAATTTGATGTTTTTTCTGAGCAGAAATAAAATCACCTATAGTTGCTTGCTTGTCAAGTCGGGATCCTGTTACCTGTCCTTACTTCCCTTGATCCCGTCAGGCTGGCTGTCATTGCCCTCTCCATAACCCTCATTGCTCTCCAGTTTCTCCTCCTTCCTTCCTCAGTCTGTTGGTGTGTTCTTGAAACTCTCTTGGTGTCCCTCCTTGTGAAGAGGTTGGATTTCCTGTTTGTTTCATGGATTCAGATGGTATTTCAAGCTGAATAAGATAAAAACTACTTGTATTTCCACCTTCTGTTTAGCGTTTCACTTACAGCAACCTCACCTATACTTCACCTCTGCTTTAAGGTCAAGGAAATAAAACAGCATTCATCTTTTTCACCACTGAGTCATTTCTTCTCTCCATGGAAAACTCATCTTACTTGCAGTGCCCCATTCTCTTGTAATACTTGAATTGTCCTCCTGGAGAAATGTATGTACTTTCTGAAATAGGGCTGTGGGGTTTTTGGGTTGTTTTTTTCTGTTGGGTGGTTTGTTCCCCCCTGCCCATGATCCACAGCTAAAGGTCTTGTTTGTACTCTGAGTAGTCTTTTCAACTTCATCCTGTTTTTCCTCAAGTTTCTCAATAGGCTTCCCAATACAGGTGTCCAGCCTTTTTTTTTTTGTGGTGTATTATTTCCCTTCTCTGACTCACATTAATATTTGAGTGTCTTGCCGTAGTAATTTTTCGCAGATCTCTGCCTGTATTTTAATTTCTTTTCTCTCCAACTTCTACTTACACTTCTTGTTCCACTTTGAATGTCTGTTGTATCGTGTGTCTTTCTAAGAGTAGATTGTTTGCATCAGTCTGCTGTTCTTGCATTAGATCATCAATTTGCGTATCATTTTATCAGTGTGGTTTTATTTAATTGTAGCTACAGCACGGGATATTTGTTACTGATGTTCATTGCAACAAGAGAAATAAAGTGATCCTCTATATTATAAGAGGCTCTTGAGTTGTTCCGTTGACTTGGAAGTGGGAACATACGGTGAAAGGTTTAAAAATAAAAATAAAAAAGACTTGAGCTAAGATACAGCTTGCATCTTAGTGAATTCATTCAAGTGAATATGCAAAATTTTTCAGCAATGTTGAGCTTTCTTTACTGTTTCATCTCAAGATATACATAATTTGGGACATAAGTGTGTATAGCGTGTATTTAACAACCTTGCTTTCTATATGCTTCTCAAGTATTTTTCGTGTGTGTGTGCGCGCGTGTAGGAAATCCTTTTAGAGACGACCTCACCTTCATAAATTGCTGTGTGACACAAAAGGGCTGAACACTGTATTCCTGCCTCATTTATTTTGAAAACTTTGCTACTGAAACCAAACTTAATCAATGAGCTCTGTGTTGTCTCCAATAAGTTATGTACTGGCTTTATTGATTGGGAAGGATTTTAGAAAACCCATGTGAGGTTTATAATGTCAGCAGTGTTTTGATTATGAAAAGACTTGGAACCTTGGGACGAGGAACCAGGTGGTGTATGTCCTAAAGCCACTGGTGACACGCCTGGGCCGAATCCCTCGTGGGACACAGTTCATGCCCTGCACTTTAACTGTGGTGACTGGCTGCTATAGATGCACTTTTTGCTCATTAAAATGTTAAAAATCAAACCACATGTAAAAAGATTTGTGAAAATATAAACTTGGGGATTGATCCAGAAAACTGGCATGTGATACCCTGGAGATGCTGGTTTCAGCTACTGGGTAATTTACGCTTATCAGCTGTGTGTCCTGGATTGTTTGGGGTTTTTTCCTCCTTCTTTTCAGGGGATTTTGCTTTAGAGGCATTTATGTAGGTTTTTCTTTAAGAAAATAGGCATAGAGGAATAAAATAAGAAAACAGGGTATTGATACTACCTCTGTGTTTCATGTCAGGTAGAAACAAAAAGGATTAGAAGATGCTGACACTGAGTGATTCTAGGTTTGGTTTGGTTTGAAATCGTAAAGAAATGATCATTTTTCTAGGCTGTAAGTAACCACCCACTTCAAGAGGTCTGGTAGGAAGTTGTATATTATGTAGACATTGCTAACCTTTCAAACTGAGCAGTATTTAAAGGAAAAAAAAAAAAGGAAAAAAACCCATTACATTTACAGTAACAAGCTTGCAACTTGAGCAAAAATCAAATAGTCCTCGAGTAATTAGATTTCTTACATGGAATAGATCAGCAGTTCTGCTAATTAAAAACTAATTCTGTATATGATTTTTATGTGTTTTTAATAGTTAAAATTTAAAAAATGCGTCTGTAGTTAAGCTGTACTTGTCTCAATTTTTGAGTTGTAAATCAAGGCAGATAAGTATTGGCATATAATGAGTGGCAAATTATGTCCAGTAACATTATAAAAGCCACATAATAATATCACTGTAAAATCTTTGTTGAAAAGAGAAGGCAAAATATAGTGTTACAGATTCAATATATTGCCTCTTTAAGTGCACATTTCATTTTCTGTGTTTAGGAAGCTATAAATATCAAGAAACAACTGCAAAGTAAGTTCTGAGTAATACACGTTTCCTACAACAACACAATGCTGAGGATGCTAAAACGTTTTCTTCCATGAATGTTTTTACCTGCAGTTACAGTAATTATTTAAATCATCAAAATAATGGAGAGAATATAATCTGCCGTTTTGAGGTGACTGATTACTTGTTATCTTTTAACACTGCTATTTGCGTTTTTTTTTTTTCCAGAATTCTATGTAGCAGCTACATGGCTTTGTTGCTAAAAAATACATGTGCAGTCATTACTTTGAGGACAATTTGTATTGATAAGGTCAATAAAAATATAGGCACTTTACTCTCCTGCAATTACAGTTTTGATTCATTTAAAATTCTAGGGTTTTCTTGTTTTTTTTGTTTGATGTGTTGTGTGTGTGTGGGGGGTTGGGGTGGTTTTTTTTTTTTTGTGTATTTTATGCATTAAGATTTTAGTTGTGGGTAAAGCTTAACTGTGTGATAGTTAAAATTTGTCAAGATGTAGTTTTTGTGCACAAGCAATCAGAGTTGTTCA